ACAGTTCTATGACTTATGTGAGATTTATTTGTAATTAACTCTTTTGTTTTATCATTGCCAAGTGACTTTTAGATACATTTGATTTTTTAAAAAATCTGTACAAATTTGTGGTGACTTTTGCTATGCTGCTCAGTCATTTCTTGATCTTTAACAGTTATCAATTTACTAGCATGGTATCAAGGGTAGCTGAGAAGCATAATCTTCTTTAGTGAATAAGTACAGGTGGGGGTGGGGGATAGTAAAGGACTTTTTTGATGAGATGCTCAAGTTCAGTATAATGTAAACAGACGACAAAAAATGTTGATTGAATGTATTCTATTACTCAACTTGACTGGATACAACAGCATAATCGAGCTTGTTTCAAACATACATAATACATGAAGTTTGTGTTGTCATATTTTCAGCTGTCATTTGTATTACCAGATGATTAAGACTTGTAAACACTATTTCTTCAGACAAATGATCTTGTTACACCTGTTTTGTGTATTAAACATAGCAATATTTGTACGTGTTTCACAGAAAATGAGATTTATTTTGAGAAACATGAATTAAGATTTTAATTGCAATAAATTGAGTTTTTACTATGTGATTGTAGAAAAAAAAATGCTTTCATCCGCAATAATTTGATTTATCATTAAAAGATTTAAATAAAATTTTATTTTCTGGAACTGAATTTATCTCCCCTGCAATCATGTTTCTCATTAGGTAGATCTAGCTACTGACTCTACCATACACTTGTCTGCCACTACTGTTGTAGTGATTCTACCAAACACTTGTGTCTATCACTGGTTGCCCCCAAGATGTACATAATCTGTTGGCTTAATTTATATCCTGTCTTCTCTAAGTTTTGTGACTCCCCATCCTATGAGTTGGATGTGATATTTCATTTGTTTTTGTGATATTCTTATCTCCCCTGCTTAACTGGTTGTCCTGTCAAGCAGGGAATTTTAATTAGTAAACAATTTAATTTTATACTTATGGCTTCAACCATTTGATGGTTAAAATAAATAAAAATAAATTTTAAAAACATGCACCATTGTATTTTAGATATTCAGAATCTAAAGAAAAAAAAATTTGATTTTTTTTTTTTTTGCTTATCAGAACACTTCCCTATATTTTGTTATTTTTAAAAGAATGGCATTGCATTGTGATGGGAATGGTGTTAGGGAATGACAGGTTTGTTGGTTATCTGCAAGTCATTTCTTTGTTACTCCAAGTCCCAGTTTTTTATCTCATTTTTATCTCCTTGTTCAATCTTATCTGTGCTTTTGGTTGTTTTTTTTTTTTTTTGGATCTTTTTTTTAAGTACAGATTTTTTGATTGGTTGTAGAAATGGGACTTAAAGACACAATTTGCGATTGGTTAATATCAATTTTTAAGAAAGAAAAATAAAACTTCCCTATTATTAGTTTTCCATAACTACATTTTTACTATTTAATAAAACTGTTGAAGTTTATTTTATTTTCTATCATATAATTTACATAATTGAAAAATCATTTTTACATTTATTTATATTTTCCCAATTTTTAATTATTCATGTTTTTAAAAATGTTTTTATTTCTAATGAACACTCATAAGATTATTAAAATAAATATTTCAGTAATCAAATTGCCTCATCAACCCTAATTAACATTACAAAAAATTTCAATTAATGTTGAAGCTTTCTTAATGTAATCATATTAAAACAATATACTGTACATTTTTAATTGTAGGCTAATTATTTTCCCAATTAGCCTAGCAACATGTTTTAATATTTATGAGATGATTTGCCAGGATTTTGACAACTGTTGTGTTCATCATTGTAGAGTTTAAAACATATCTAAGTTGAGAAAATGGTTGCACCCCTTTACCGCTGTATTTGAAAGAGGTTGTCTGAGTTGAAGAAAATGGTTCCCTCCCTTAAAGCTGGTGTATGTGAATGCTGTTGTGTTAAATGGAATTATATCTAGCTGGATAGCTCTGGGGTATTTGGTTGTCTTTCACTCTCTCATGTTTCATGCAGACCATGTCTGCACTGAACAGTTTCTTGTTGCATAAGTGCATTATTTTTGTTTGACAACTGAAATCTTTTGTTGACAGAAAGCTGTATGGCCACAATCATCTTGATACATTGGTTTTTTGTTTTACTTCTTAACTGAACAAAAAAAACAATACTTGTTAAATGAAACCCATGTACACAATTTTGCTTCGTTGATTAGTACTTTGTGGTCATCTGGTGTTGGTGGCCACTGATCCTGTTAGGGTTGTGGCTCAGGATTTTTGGTCCAACTAGATAATTATCATTCTATTAATAAGGAAACAGCACATCACACATTGCAACTCACTTTACATTACATGGTTAAAACTTCACATTGGTAAACCACTACAAACCTTTTTTAGTTTAGGGCTGTCCATAAACAATAATTCAGTTACATAATTTTCACAGATTTAATAAATTTAACTGCAATATATATCTAAAAACTCCCCCTACACTAATTTAACTTGACAGATCCGCCCACCTTTAGAGCAACCATAATTCTGACTAGCATCAATATTTTATTATGTATTTTAGAGCAAGGCAACATTTAGCTGAACTTTTTAAAAAGCTGTCATTCCTGTAGCTTATTGTCACAAAAGTTTACATTGCATTTTTATGTGTGGTGTCATGTATGGACAAACTACTACAGCAAACACCACATTTTATTATAACACCACTAGGCAATACCTGGTTACATCCCATTGTTAAACTACACATCCTGTAGTTACACCACCACACATTGCATTGTTACACCACACATTACACAGTTAAAACCACATCCATCCCATAGTTACTTCACCACACATCCCCTTGGTACACAACATCCCATAGTTCCACCACCTCACATCCCATAGTTACTTCACCACACATCCCATAGTTACTTCACCACACATCCCCTTGGTACACAACATCCCATAGTTCCACCAACTCACATCCCATAGTTACTTCACCACACATCCCCTTGGTACACAACATCCCATAGTTCCACCACCTCACATCCCATAGTTACTTCACCACACATCCCATAGTTACTTCACCACACATCCCCTTGGTACACAACATCCCATAGTTCCACCACCTCACATCCCATAGTTACTTCACCACCTCACATCCCATAGTTCCACCACCTCACATCCCATAGTTCCACCACCTCACATCCCATAGTTCCACCACCTCACATCCCATAGTTCCACCACCTCACATCCCATAGTTCCACCACCTCACATCACATAGTTCCACCACCTCACATCCCATAGTTCCACCACCTCACATCCCATAGTTCCACCACCTCACATCCCATAGTTCCACCACCTCACATCCCATAGTTCCACCACCTCACATCCCATAGTTCCACCACCTCACATCCCATAGTTCCACCACCTCACATCACATAGTTCCACCACCTCACATCACATAGTTCCACCACCTCACATCCCATAGTTCCACCACCTCACATCCCATAGTTCCACCACCTCACATCCCATAGTTCCACCCCCTCACATCCCATAGTTCCACCACCTCACATCCCATAGTTACACCACCTCACATCCCATAGTTCCACCACCTCACATCCCATAGTTCCACCACCTCACATCCCATAGTTCCACCACCTCACATCCCATAATTCCACCACCTCACATCCCATTGGTACACAATATCCCACACCCCCACCCATGTTCTTGTTACGCCACCACTGATGGTCTCTACCAACACTGTACTGTCCACTGCTGCTCTCTCTGTGTTTACAAGCTGTTCGCCTCATCAAGCCTTGAATCATCCTATTGATAACTGTTACATGAGATGTTTCTTCACTGACAACTGTGAGGTTGCCCTGGTTAGGGGAATGTGACACTTTTTATTATTATACAACTTGTTTTGTTTTCAATCATGTACATGCTCTTTAACTCTTGTTTTAATATGTATTGTTAAAGTTCTACAACTCTTGTTTTAATGATGTAAAAGTTCTACAACTCTTGTTTTATTGATGTAAAAATTCTACAACTCTTGTTTTAATGATGTAAAAGTTCTACAACTCTTGTTTTAATGATGTAAAAGTTCTACTATTATTTTATTGAATGCTATAAATGTTACCTAATTGTTTACTTCTGATAAGTGCATTATGCTTTGATTAACTGTTTATATGCCACTTCAGATTATGCTTTAATGATGCTTTCATAATGAGAAAAAAAAACACATTTTTACTCTACCCTTTAATTTTTTTTAGATTTACTTATTATTTTAACATCTACATCTATAACACAATTTACTAATAACACAATTGTTTTTTAAATAACCTGTTGTTTGCCAATTAACTTCACCAATTCATTTGATGGTACATGGTGAGCCACAGTTAGTGTAGGTGAAAAAAAAATATTGCTTTCATTTGTTTGCTTTCAATGCTGTATTTAAAAAAAAAAAAAGAAAAATTTATTAAAATAGAAATCATGTTAAAATGTTGGATTGTCTTTTTTTTTTAATACAGTCACTGACTAAGGTCACAATTGTTTGTTTAGTATGGTTCAAATTTTGAAACATAAATACGACCAGTTTCTAAAAGAGCAATTTCTAATACACTTGCACACAGGGTGTGTATATGACAGTATTAACATCTAACTCAGTTTAATTGCAAATTTGAAAAATTTATCGAACATAAAAGTACAGTCACTAGGTTGTAATAATTATTCAGGAGAACCTGGTAATAATTGTTTCAACGATATCTACAAAAAATTTTTCTAAATTTATACAATTACTGCATATTTAATAGTAAAATAACAGCATGAAAATCGTTATATCATACACTAAAAATATTTTATCAGCATTTTGAAGAAGTTTTTAACAACTCTGGTTCAGACTAGGAAATTTTGAAGTCCTGACAGCTATGTAGGGAAAATGTTGGCTTGAAACTGTTGAAAGGCTGAATATAACTGTCATTTTATGGAGCAAATTCTTAGTGCTTTGAGTACTTAAATGAAGCAATTGCTAGATGCCTAAATATTTTATGGAGCTGTTCTTGATGCCCAAAGTACATCCTTAAATGATGTCACACTCGGAGGGAGAGAGGGGTACGGGATTTTGTGACGGTGTGTGAAAAGGGTGGAGGGTGTGGGGGGTCCAGAAATTGTGACGTCACACATTTACATTTTTTTTTCAAATAGTAATTTAAGAAAATGAAATGTAGCCGTTATTTCGCGTTTTAGGAAACTGAATAAATTGTGGTAGAAATCGATTAAAATATTTGTATGTTGTCCGAGCTCAGTCAATACTTTAGAAAAAAAAATCGATGTTTGAAAAATTACAACTGCAATTTTTGAGGGTGGTTGTAGACTGTGGTGTGAGGTCATTTAAAAAAAAGGGGGGGGGGGGGTCAAGCCTTGTAACGATGTGGGACGTAAGGGAAGGGGAGGTAAAATCGTCAACTTATGGATGACCTCTAAGCCTTAGTTGTATGGAGCAATTTTACTTTTCAAAACTTTTGGTTGGCTAACGCATAAGTGACATGCAAGGTACGGGAGCGGGGATATGGTGGTGCTAATGTCAGCCGCTAACATTGACTACGATATTTTCATACACAAAAAAAACCACCTGACTTTAGATACCGCCCCAGTAAAGTACAAAAAAAAAAGAATTAAAACGAAAATAAAAAAAGTTAAGGCTAGCATGTCGTTACATTTTCAGCACTACTAGCGCCCCTAACGACAGTTTCATGACCTCCATCTGAGCAGTGACGAATATCAGCCTTGCGTGGCGGGCAAAAGTTGAGTATTTTCCAGGTTCAAAAAGTAACTGACATAGCGGTAAAATGCGAACTTCTTCCCATTTCAAAGGGTAAATGACGCCGCAGTACATTGGAAACGTCCAGCTACTTCAAGAGAATTGCGAACTTCTCTAGCTAAAGAGATAAGTGACATAGCGGTAAATTGCGAACTTCTCAGTTTAAAATGTAAATGACACGGTGGTAAATTGCGAACTTCTCCCTAGTTCAAAGGGTGAATGACACGGGGGTAAAATGCGAACTCCCCCTCCCCCCAGTTCAAGAGGTAGTGACAAGTGTGTGACCCAGATGCCGGTCGAATGTTCCAGACCAAAAATTCCTGTCTACTTAACATACCTTTCATGACTGAAGATCCCTACCGAACGGTTTGATTGTTCTACCTCCAATGGTTTTGGTACTGAAGTGTTTTCGTTGTCATTTATTCGATAGGCTAGGGAATCAAACCATTTACAAGTCGAAATGGCAATTATAAGGGTGTGGGGGGGGGGGGTATTATCCTGCCAGTGTAAAGTACATTGTGACACACACTTCAACCGCCTGAATTGATGCATGTTATATTTGACTCATGGGCGTAGCCATGTTCCCCCCCCCCCCCCCGACTTAGTCTCTGATTTTTTTGGACACGTCTGGAGGACGCAATGTACGATATTTTGTTGTTTTCTAAACGATTTTACACTACACCACATGTTAGAACGTGCTTAGTCATCACATGTACGGTGGGAATCAGCAAAGTGGAGCTGTGATATGCTTGGTTGATTTCCGAGGGCGTGGTAAAGTGTAAGGATTTAATGGGTAATTATTCATCAAACATTTATGCAACCTCTAAAAGCTTAAATAATAAATGCATACACTTAAAATCGACTTAATTTTTACGTTTTAAAATTAAAACAAACACAAGACATCCTTAAGCACTTATTTAAAAATATCATTTAAAAAACAGCAAAAGGGGAGCACCACAGCTCATCAGGAAGAATTCCTTGAACGAGCTGACCCGCGACGTAGTATACGCCGCCATCTAGTTGTTTTATTTTCTGCTTATCAGCAATTCATAATTTGTGAATTCAACACTACCCCCTCCCGCCCCCTTCCCCCCCCCACCCGTCCTTCCCCCCCCCCCCCACCCGTCCTCCCCCCCCCCCCCCCGCCCGTGAAAGCAGCTGTTTACAAAGAAAAGATCGATCAGAAATTGTTACCTCCCCTTCGTTTCAAATCGTTTAATACTAAATTATCTGCCCCTAATAGCAGTCACTAACCCGGCTATACGATTGTAAACATTCGAAGTGAACCTCAGCTCACCTGACAGGTGGGGAGGAGGGTGGTGGCTAAGCTGCGTGGTGTTTTCTATGGTCTCCACGAAGAGAACTATATATATGTGTGTGTGTGTGTGTGTGTGTGTGTGTGTGTGTGTGTGTGTGTGTGTGATTGTTATAGCTGTAAGCTAGTGTGTGTAGCCACTCCACAACGCTATAGCTGCTAGCCATTCCACACCATGTTATAGCTGCTAGCTAACATGTTATAGCTGCTAGCTATTTTGGAAGTCAACGAATCCACACAGAGGGGTTGGCAATAATCAATAAAAGAAGCAGAGTTTACGCAACTTCAGAAATAGGCCTACACGCAAGAAGTTATATGTTATATTGGGAAACTTTGTCTCAGATTTGGTGTAAATGTTAGTATACATTTTTCTGTTAGACATCTTACCGCCCCCCCCCCCCCCAACTGGAGCACGTCCACAGCCCTGTGCCCTGAAGAAATAAAAAAAACAATATATCTCATATAGAAAATTTATACTATAACCAGTGTCACCCCTCCCCCGGAAGTGTCAAGTGCCCTCCTGGAGAAAAGAAAGACACCCTGGTTGGAATTGTTGTCCTACATTTGGAGTAAAATCTTGTAGACTTGGCATAAAAATAACGTGCTTACTTTTACTTTTAGAAACCAAAGTTAATGACCTCCAGTATACGTGTTTTTTAACTAAATACTGACAATTTATTTCCTAACATTCAGCAACTTTTTAACTGAATGCAAACAATTTCCTAATATTTGTTCCGGACATTCAGCAACTTTTTAACTGAATGTTAACAATTTCCTAATAGTTTCTTCAGACAACTGTAGCAGCTCTCCGTGTTTAGCGTGACCTAAATGAACGACAACCAGGGGCGGAACTACAGTGCCGCCAGACCCCGCAATGCGGGGGGGCCCACGCCATTTAGGGGCCCAGAGCCGACCATAATAAATTTTTTTATAGTTAAAAAAAAAGTAAATTTTCTTTCATTTTTGACTTTTGTAAAAAATTACCGTAGCTGCGGTTGGATTATCTTTATTCTATAGACACCACCCCACGCTCTTGTTTCATCTTTTTCCCTTTGTTTTTAAACAACTTTGAAAGCCGAGTATTTCTCCTACAATTAAACTTATCAAAGATAAGCAAATGTTCAAACCACTTCCATGACTTATTTCCCTTTTTAAAAAAATAGTCAAATAGGGGTAATCATAAGCTCCTTTTAATAGATTTGTACTAAACAAATTAAAAAGCAATTACTTCTCTTAATTATTATTGTTTTATAAGTAATTACTAAAGAATGATATTGTATAAAAGGGAAATGTATTGAAATGTATTAAATCAATAATATTTTAAACATTAAAAATATAATTGCGAGAAAAAACATAAAAATAAACATAACACGAGACACCATTACTTATACAAAGCTTTCATATTTTATATTATTTTGACCGACAGGATGCTAAAAGGGCCTCTATCAAAAATTAATTAAAACTGATTTTCACAAAAACACGCTAATGCACTTACACACATGACATGATGTTGAAATTTTTTTTTAATGATGTTTTTCAAATCCCGAAAAGGACAGCAATGAGTATCCTATGTTCGTATTATGTGAATGCACACACACACACACACACACACACATATATATATATATATATATATATATATATATATATATATATATATATATATATATATATATATATATATATATATATATATATATATATATATATGGGGGGCCTAATAATTTTTTTTGCGGGGTGGCCCTTTTTTTCTAGTTCCGCCACTGACGACAACTTCATATTTTAATCAACATAAATTAATAATTCCGCTCCTGCTGCCCACTAACTGTACATTCATTATCCCACATGTCAGTTGAACAAAACCCGACTGAATTGACAAGTGGTTTCGTCACAGCCAATCAATACAAACGTACGGTTTCCATTGTGTGGAGGTTTATCGTACCTTTTGTGTGAAATGCTAATGAATGACGTCAATGACTTTTGGTCACTCCACCCACCCGTTTGTGTGTGTGCGTGTTTGTATGTATGTGTGTGTGTGCGCACGTACAATCGCTAGGATTCTAATATACCTGTTAAGACGACCTCTGCTGCCTCGCCTAGTATCATCTACTTCAATAGCTCAGGTAAGGTTTGCTGAATTCGGGTACGGTAAGCATTTTTTTTATTCAACCTCGTGTGAATGCTTTTTTTTTAGATTAAATTAATTTTATATTTTGTGTGGGTCTACATTATTTATGTGTGCTCGTTGCTTGAATTCGAAATAGTTCAATTTTGCTGAAAGTTGGAAAAGTATTCGGTCACAGTCAAGAACGATAACTGCTGTAACTTTTGGGGAACTTAGGTTGCCAGATTTTTTACGGTTTTACAGCCATTTGATAGCGGGTGCAGGTAGAGGGGGTAGTGCATGCGAGTCGTGAAGGTTTGTCTTGATGCCATACGAGTTAAACGGTTGTGTGGTGTTTAACAACAAATGAGTTCTATGGCTTGCTGAAAATAAGGTATGTTTTGTCGTTAATTTAAACACTTTAACTTTAAATCTTTTTGCATTCATTTTGGATATGAACAAAAAAAAATTGATTTGAAAAAAAAAAGTAATTATTTATTTATTAATCGTACCGATAGTGGTATCTAAAGAATTATTTTAATTAGTCAAAGCAACTGTGTTGTGTAACATGACTAGGTGAGAGCTGATTCTTTGTTTCGTAGAACACATTTATAGTTATATGCTATATAAATTATGTAACCACTCAAGAAAAGAGCCAGGGAGGTTTTTTTTCTACAGTTGATTCTGTAGGTTCTCCGCGTTGATTCTGTATGTTCTTATTCTGTATGTTCTTCGCGTTGATTCTGTATGTTCTTATAATCTGTATGTTTTCAGCGTTGATTCTGTATGTCCTTATTCTGTATGTTCTCCGCGTTGATTCTGTATGTTCTTATTCTGTATGTTCTCTGCGTTGATTCTGTATGTTCTTATTCTGTATGTTTTCAGCGTTGATTCTGTATTTTCTCATCGTTGAGTATGTAACCTTGCAGGCTAACTCAATTTCGAAACGGTTAACTCATCAATAGGTCTGCCAAGTTGCGAGATGTTAAATTTATTACCAGATCATAAACATATCAATCTCGCCTGACTGGCAAAATAAAGTTTGAATATTTTAAGAAATGTTTGCGATTAATATAAAAATAGTATTTCTGTATCCCTTTGTTCAAATTGACTGAAGGCCTACTTGTTTGAAGCTAGGGATGATCGTGTCTCTCTCGGTCTTAGTCTACCCTAGATATGCCATTAATTTAGTTCCATACAATGCAAAAGTGACAAATGTAATCCTTCTGACGTAATTTAATATTAATTTGAACTTTCTTACATGCAATCGCTGATTTAGAAATTATCAACAGCCACAACTATTTGTGTGCGTGTTAACACAATAATTGTGAATCTTTTCTACTACAAACGAATTGTGTTTGATGGTGTATTCTGTAAAACACTATATAGATTTAATAAATTTAAATGTAAACTTTGAAGGTTATAACCGGAAGATCAGCATGATTGGGTTTCCGGGATTGTATCAACCAATCACATCTAATGTTACATAAAGCTATTTAACCATTGTGACTACTATTGATCCCAATGTTAGCCTGACTTGTGTATATACTGCGATAAAGCAGGTATACAGCTGGTAATGTATGTAAACTATAGCCTAGAAACACCGTTACATCGATTAATTGACTACATTCTCCAAAATCAATTGGGACCATGTTTGAATGTGTTCTTAAAGAAAACGGGCACTGTGTATGGTGGGGGGGGGGGGGGGGGGTCTGAATGATTCGACACAAATTTAATCAGACACGTTAAACCTGGTAGGGGGGTGTTTGATTTGGTGGGAGGGGGTGTTCTATAGTAAATTTAATTAGATTGGGTGGAGGGAAAATGTTTCTATGGGCTCAATTTTGTCATTGTTAAAACTGTTGGTAACGAAGAGAATTTCAATTAAAGAAAAAAGTTAATAAGTCAAGTATTTGTTGCCTAGAGTTGACGTGCCGTTATGTCCCCCCCCCCCCCCCAATAAAAAACAAACATATTTGATGAATATGACACCAAAAATTGGGCCTGCTGCCCGTCTCTCCCAACACCACCACTGATCCCGATAAAGTAACACTAAAACATGTTTGATGCTCTCTTCTGCTTGTTCTACTGTATTCACCTAACATTCCTGTAGCTGTCCTCAGTTTCTTGCACTACTCTGATGTACCAATCTGTAACAAAAAGTGTAACTGTGCTACACTAGTTTCTTGCACTATTTTGATGTAAAAATCTGTAAATTGTAACATAATGTGTAGCTATACTAGTTTCTTGCACTATTCTGATGTAACAACCGGTAACCTTTGTGTAACTGTACTCGTTTCTTGTAACAACCCGTAACCTTTGTGTAACTTTCCCCAGGTGTCACCGTGGCGGGCTGGAGGGAGATCTGCAAGAGCCCGCTGCCGTGTGTTGGTCTGGTTGATGTCGCTGAGGGATTCGTCCCCCACACAGGGAGATCCTGGTACGTTGGCCTCAACAGCCTGTCCCTGTCCGGCGTGACCGCTGCTGCCTCGAGCTCACACCGCTCCACCGCCCGGCACGCGCCCGTCACGGAGCGCTTGACGAGCAGACGGGAGTCGTCTGTAAACTACATTCAGGCGACCGCATCTCCTGACGTCGTCGTCGACTCGCTCCCACCACCAGCAGACGATATACCAAACGAGCTGCCTCCGATCGTTTTATCCGACGAACCCAGCCTGAAAATGTTCAACAACTCCCCACCTAGCTCGCCCCTGTCCCGGTTCGCTTCCTCGCCCCCTAGCAGCGCCTCAAACCTGTTTACCCTCAACCACCAAGAAGCCGCGGCCATGGTCCGCGACGTCCAGAAAGACGAAGACTCCCGCCACTGCTACATCCTCAACCTTAAACTTCGACCTTTGTTCAGCGATGACGTCATATCCGGCTCGTGTCTCCGGAAGGTACCCCGCCTCGTCAACGGGATTCCCCTGGGCGCCGGGTACCTCTCCCGCGACCAGCTCGGCGCCATCAAGTGGCGTCTGCTGGAGGGCGGGAACTCGGAGCTGACCTTCATCTCGACCCCGCTCTTGAGGGAGGAGGCCGAGGAGTGCCGGAACACCCTCCGGGACCGGCTGGTCAAGCAGGCCCAGGCGGTGTTCGGTGACGTCACGGTCAAGGCCAATCTGACCCTCTCCAGGTGTTTGGACTTTGGGGAAGATTTTCTCCTCAATGATATAGCGGTCAACGTAGGGGAGGGGTTGCAGTTCAGGGACTGACCTTTGGTTAGGTTAGGTTAGGTTAAGTTGGTTAGGTTAGGTTGGGTTGGGTTAGATTAGGTTAGGTTAGGTTACGTTAGGTTGGGTTGGGTTAGATTAGGTTAGGTTGGGTTAGGTTAGGTTAGGTTGGGTTAGGTTGGGTTAGGTTGGGTTAGGTTAGGTTAGATTAGATTAGGCTAGGTTAGGTTAGGTTGGGTTGGGTTAGGTTGGGCTAGGTTAGGTTAGGTTGGGATAGGTTGGGTTAGGTTAGGTTAGGTAAGGTTAGGTTGGGTTAGGTTAGGCTGGGTTAGGTTAGGTTGGGTTAGGGGGGTTTTGTGGAAGTCAAAAAATAGAACGTTGCATTATTTTTTAAATTAACCTATTACAGTGGCCATTATTAACGTTGTTGTACATATTATACAAGAGTTATGACCTTCATCTCTGTGATATCTAGCCAAGGACATTTGTGAACTAACCATAACCCATGTATACATTTTTAGCTAATCATATTTTATTTCTAATCCTTGTGCTGACTTTAGTTAACCCTAATATAAACGTTACACACATTTTGAACTATCAGATACACCTATGTCATGCAATAATGTCCACCTCAAATGAGATAATCCTAGGTATACCCAGTGGCGGATTAAGGGGGGTGCTGAGGGGGCTGCAGCTAGGGGCCCCCGATTTTTAGGGGCCCCCAAATTTCCTTTTTCAATCATAGTAAATTTTCCTTTACAGTGAAATTTTTGGATTTTTTTTTTTTTTTTTTTTTTTACTATAAAAACCAATATTTTAATATTTGAATCACAAGTTTATTTCAATTTTTTATCAAAATATCAAACTCGAGCACACACTTTAGTATAAATACCAGCCCGGACAGCGTTTGCTTATGACAATAAGTTGGGTTGATTTTAGAGTTAAAAACACAAACGGCGGTCGAATTATGACACATAAATAACATGAATCTGGTGTGAAAAATCTATGATTAGTATGATTTAAACTTTTAAAAACGCTTATAGGCCTTTACTTTTAGTGAACGTTAATATCGGGTGTACAGGCCAGGGATGCTGTTCTTTAAATGGACGCCTGTGGAAATCCAACTTTTTGTGGGCCTCAATAATGGATGATACCTAAGAGGATGGAGGTGTGGTTTTTTTACGCTTTTGCTGTGCTTACTGTTTTTAGATGGACCTAGTTAAACCTCTGTATCTTATTAATAATTTCCTACATAGAGTTGTTTGAAATTCTCTTTTTTCTTTTTACGTATGCAAGCAAACAAGTGTCAAAAGTCTTTATCGTCTGCTCTATAACGACATTATAATATTCTTATAGATATTTATATTTGTTCAATGTTAGTCTGCATTTCCAGCTTTCATATACCCAATATAAATATTTGAATGACTGTTCACTAACTATCGTGACACGGATATACCGGCTCAGGAGTTTGACTCCCATTAGCCAGGGAGGTCAACTTCAACTAACTGACAAATAGTGGACTGAATCAGTCTCACGAAGATGTTGGTTTGTAACACTACATGATGGTCGCTTATCCGTCCGTAGGCTCTCACCAGGCTCTACTTTCCCCACCACCAGCCGCGGGACGTCGTCCTACCGTCTGGTGCCTGGCTAGGTCGCGGGGCAGAGGTCGGAAACTTCAACAGGCCTAAAGTAAACAATCATACATTTAGTACTGCTGACGTAGTTGATGGATCTCGCCTATATGTGTTTTTATTAGTGTGTGTGTCGTGGCAGTGGGTGGGGACAACATATAATCATGCTAAAAATGAGTATATATTGGTTAGATGATAGGGGGTCGGCGTGATCGAGTCGGTAAAGCTCATGGATGCTTAACCGAAATGTCTCGAGTTTAAACCCTCGGGCAGATGATGCTCGTTAGCTGGGGAGGGACAACTCCAAAATCAAACATCTGCTATAGTTTGCTCTTAGTAAGTTAGTTGGACAAAGGCTATGGAAACAAATTAAAAAAGAAAAGCAGGCTGAAATCGGAGTCAATGGTCTCAATGGCGCATAACCAGTTGACACGTATACTTAATTGTGTTGGAGGGCACCCCTTCCAACACTAAAACTTAGAACGAAGAAGAAGAGAAGAAGAAGGTTATATGTTTGTATCCAATTTACCGCTCTTTTAACACAATTGACAGCTTTTTAAATTAGCAGTTTTGTAAATATCGTTGTCGAATGTTCCTATAAGTTATAATAATCCATTATTATCTTGAATAGTATGTTGATTAGGATATATATATATATATATATATATATATATATATATATATATATATATATATATATATATATATATATATATATCAGGGGCCCCCAAAAAGTTTCAGCCCGGGGCCCCGGCCAAGCTTAATCCGCCCCTGGGTATACCGATATTGTTGTCCATATAATGTATTATGAATGTTATTGGATGGTCTTAATCCGGAAACGAACTCTCGGGGTTAGCTGTGATAATGTTTGCCATCATCGATCAAGCCTTAAAGACAATGTCTATGTTAAGTCAGTCAATGTTATGTAGCCTTTAGACCATGTCATGTTATGTCAGTCTTTAGGCATAGCCAATATCAATGTTATGCCAGTCTTTAGGCAATGTCAATATTATGTCAGTCTTTAGGCAATGTCAATATTATGTCAGTCTATAGACCATGTCAATGTTATGTCATACAATGTTAATGTTATGTAGTCTATAGACATGTTGTCAGTCTTTTATAGATAATGTCAATGTTATATCAGTCTCTGTCTATAGACAATGTCAATGTAATGTAGTCTATGAAGTTTGCCTACGACCAGGAGTGATCTACTAAAATGTTATTTTAGTTTCAGTGCTTTGTGATTCTGAATTTTAAAGTTATTTATTATGCGTATGTATATAGGTAAAAATGCAGTATGAAATAATCAAAAGATGATGTAGTTTTATAACCGATTTAGATGTGCGTGCCTCTAGATAAGTTGACCTGTGTGACGTAGGTGATGTATACCATGAATGTGTTTGGCCGTCTCTCTGCTTGTATTAATTTCTTTCTGATATTGTGCGATGCCTTACGCCTCTATCCCGCCATTCCCAGTTGTGACAAATTAAATTAATATTTTTCTAACTCGTTTTTAATTTTAATATATAAGTCTTGTTTGTGGGCTATTCTGTAGTTGTGTGCGTGTATATGTTAGTGCGTATGTTGGTGCGTATGTTGATGCGTATGAGTAGGCCCAAGAGTTAGCACTATACAAATATTTGTATGTGTCTTTAATCTGTGTTTGTATGTTAGTGTGTTACCTTTGTCTATAAATGTATGAGTTAGTCTGTGTGTTTGTAAGTTTATGTGTTTATATGTTTACATGTTAGTCAATGAATGTGTCTCTTAGTCTTTGTGTGTATATGCTAGTTTGTTAGTTTACGTATGTTTATGTTAGTCAATGTGTGTGTATCTTAGTATGTATATGTTAGTCTGTGTGTTGGTCTATGTGTGTAGGTTAGTTTATTTGTGTGTTTAGTAGTGTATGTGTATAGTGTGTATGGTAGTGTATGTGTGTTTGTAGAATTGTGTGTGTGTGTGTGTAGTCTGTGTGTATATTGGTCTGTGTGTATTAATTTGTGTTGGTAGCTTTGTGTGTATGTGTTAGTATATTGTTATGTGTATGTTAATCTATGTGTGTGTGCGTGTGTGTTGATAGCATTGTGTGTACAGGAAATACAAGGCCGTGCATGTTTGTGTTTCAGTCAACAACCTGTTGGTCTCACGTCAAATAAAACACACCATACATTTCCACCAGCACAAGTCATTTTGTTAACATTTACATTTTGAAGACTTTAACTCTTTTCTTCACTATCATTACTATACATTTATCTCTAGCAACTACAAATCTGAACTCAAGTCAACATGTATTTCACTGTGGTATCTTCCTCCCCACTACCCCCCCCCCCCCCCCCCCTCAAGCTCTGATTAACCTATTTTTTGTGTAAGCGCAAATTGAAGTATATAGGCTAAAAAAAACTACCTGAGACAAAAATTGGCAGTGTATCAACCTCCACAAGCTGGCTGGGAACGGTGCCAGAGTTGTGGGGGTAGGGGGGGGGGGGGGTTAGGGGAGCTCACCTGTTCGCTGGCTGTGACGTCATAGGTCGTATGTATAAGCCACAGCGTCGTCTGAAAACTCAAACAAAAGATATTTGTTTTACATTCATGGAGTAGGTGACTGGCTAATTTATTCAGATATGTCTTATATTCAATATAGAAATTGGGTCTTAAGTCAGAATGACACAGACACGTAGAGAGTAATGTCCTGCCCTCAGACAACGACAGCCCTGCCCTGACAATGACAGCCCTGCCCATGAAACGACAACCTCACATACTCAAATATGACGAACATAGAGACTTTACTTACGTGACCTTCAGAGTTTCTTCCAGGCATCTCTCGGGGGGGGGGGGGGGATAAGTTAAATGGGGCAGGGACGTGGGAGGTATAGCTTCTCTAACCGACAACGATGTCCAAGTAAGATACATTTGAAATTAGACATCAAACATGTTTTGTGACAAATTTTTTAAATAGTTTTCTTTATTTTCATCTACACACAAATTTCATCAAACATTAAGAAAATATAACCAATGTGTGTAATCGGTTGGTTATTTGAACGATTGCATAGTTAAATATTCATAAACATAGCCCCTCCTCCTCCCAAATTAGCAATGCAGTTCTTTTATTTCAAAGTTAAACATTTAAACATTGAGTTTTTAGTACCCCCCCCCCCCCCCCACACACACACACCACTATATTCTTCTGCTCACACAACTAGGCCTTCATTCATCTTGTTGATTTTCATTGACGTAAGAGAAAAACAACAGCTGTGTCGTAGTAAAAACAAATACATCGTTGGAAACGTAACACACTGTGTACATCATGAGCATCATGGGTAAATGTATTGGCGTTACTTCAGGAGCCATGTTGTATAGAAAAGTAAAACACAATAGTAGATAGACTCGATCTAGATCTAAGTCTGATTTGATTATCGTTTGGCGACAGAACATTTTTATTGTACAGGTTTAACTGAAGAGTTCTTAATAAGATTTTTAAACTGCTGCTTAGTCTACCAAAACTGGCGACTACACATGTGCAGTATTTCACCCAATGGCTTCGTTTATTCAACACCCCACGATATAAATACAGTCTATAACTCATGCGA